CAGGAACATGGAGTATTACTATGATGAATGTGATCATGTTTCTCTTTGAAGAGATTGTGGAAATTTGGCATAGATAAAGCTTTTGAATTCTCAGAACTTACTGGACTCTTATGGGAGGTAGGAAAGTACAGATACTAAGAGAGACATTGTAAACAACGGAGACCTGGCCTGTGAAGTTTCCCTAATAGAAGCAAAGATTCTATTAGGGCCATTCATGTGATACTTTAAGAATCTGTAGAAGTGAAACCTTTGCTTTCCTGGGATAATTGATGGTTGTTAGCTGGGACAGATGAATCAGCTGTAATTAATAGACTAGAACTATTGTTTTGGGAAGTATCCTCAGGGCCAGCACACAGAGGGGGCATCCTAAGCTGGCAGCCAAAACTGGTAAGATTTAAGAGTCACCACATGGTATTAGTTTGGGTTTATATTAACACAAAGTGTTTGAAGTTTAAAAAGGAAAAAAAAAAGATTATTCATTAACAGTAATGTACTTTTCACCAGTGCTGTGGTGGTAGGTGGTGGCAGAAAAAAGCTAATTATGTAATTTTTAATCAATATCAGGCATATAAATAATTTTAAAATATAAGCTCAATACTTCAGCAGTTTTTTTTTCTGAGTGTTAGTATATTTAAACATTATTTGTTAAAATAGTTTTATTTATTTACATTTTAAGTGTTGGCCCTCTTCCCGGTCCCCCCTCTAAGAGTTCCTCACCCCATCCCCCATCTCCTTTGACTCTGAGGGGGTACTCTCTCACTCACCCCACCCACTCAGCCACACCCCACCTCATGACCCCTCCCCCATATCCTTTCCCTTGGGGATCAAGTAGCTACAGGATTAGTCACATCCTCTTCCACTGAGGCCAGACAAGGCAGTCCTCTGATTCATATGTGCTGGGGGCCACAGACCAGCCCATGTATGCTCTTTGGTTGATAGTTTAGTCACTGGTAGCTCTGAGGGGTCTGGAATAGTTGATTCTGTTGTTCTTCCTATGGGGTTGCAATCCTCTTCAGCTCCTTCAGTCCTCTCTCTAACTCTTCCCTAGGGGTCCCCAACCTCAGTCCAATGCTTGGCTTTAAGTATCTCCATCTGTCTCAGTCAACTGCTGGTAGAGCCTCTCAGAGGACAACGATAGAAATATGATGAATTGTTGAAGGAATCTCAAATAGTAGGTCAAATAAATATTATTCGTTTTGCTACTCTAGACCTTATATTAGCTCTAGAGCAGTCCTGGGCACATTTAGTTGTAGATAAAGACTCATCAGCACTCTTAGCTCTGCGGTAATTGTTGACTCTGATTGGCTGCCCTTTACAGAGTACCAGGCTCCAGAATGCTGTTACATACGGGGCCACTTTCAGTTTTTGTAGAATTGTAAGACTGGACTGTGAAGCTGTGGGCTGTGAGAGGCAGCTGGGTATCTGGTCAAACTGGCTTTGAATCCCAAAGACCCTCAGGGACTGTAGGAGTTTGGCCTTGCTCCTGGGACCCCTGGCTACTTTCACATAGCTACAGCCCTCTACAGCCCCTCCCAAGAGAGGTTTGTGGCCATTGGTCACAGGTAGAGGGTGTGACACAGGCCGCAGAGCCTCAAGACATCTCCATATTCATGAGATACCTAAAGGCCAGAAAGCATAGCCAATTAAGCATTCCTTCCCAGACTCTCCTCCTCCTTGAAAAAGATATTTAACCTCAGGTCTGCCCTGAGAATACGGGGTATAGCTTCATCCATTTTCTGCCATGAAATTGGATATTCATGACCCCTCAGAGCTACCAGTGACTAAACTATCAACCAATATTTTAAGACCACGGACTACCTCTCCTCTTTGGGGTCCGCCACTGGGAACCGTGGAGAAGGTCTTTGACTACTGAGCTACCTTCAACCTCCCGCCCTGAGGCTTCTCACAGCCTGATGTCTGGTGCTTCATGGAGTGAACACAGTCAAATTCCCGAGCCTCTGCCTCTCTGAGCCCCCTGGAGGGGACAGACTCTGGACTCACAATTAAACCAACAGAACCCATGCCCAAGCTCATGCTACAGCCCAACACTAGACTATACGGGCTATTAGATCTTGCATAAATTTAGTCAGAGAAGTCTGTCTTTGTCTAAAGAACTTAAAAAGAGGATGCCTTTTTTTTTGGTGTTGGGGAAGGGGGTTCAATGAGACTTCAAATCCATACTCATCTTCTGAGGATAGGAGTTTGAGGAGTAAAAAGAAATCATGATCATAATGTCATCAGTGAGTTCCCTTTAAATAGAGACTGGAAGGTGTTAGATGTTCTGAGATAATTCAGGAGAGATAAAAGTTTACATTACAAAAGGTTAGGATCTCTTCCACTAGATTAGACAGTCCATGATGAAGAGAAAGTGTTGGAAATTGCTAATACTAAGAAAGTGCTAAACATAAGGTTTTTATGAATGAATACATAGTTTGGTTGAGTGGGCACCTTGGGATATTCTAATTATGACTTTTTAATACTTGATTATTTTTAAGGTTTATTTATTTTTATGAGTACACTGTAGCTGTCATCAGACACATCAGAAGAGGGCATCAGATCCCATTACAGATAGTTGTGAGCCACCATGTGGTTGCTGGGAATTGAACTCAGGACCTTTGGAAGAGCAGTGAATGCTCTTAACCATTGAGCCTTCTCTCCAGTCCTAGTTGTGACTTTTGTTTTTTGTTTTTTTTTTTTTTTTGTTTTTTCAAGACAGGGTTTCTCTGTGTAGCCCTGTCTGTCCTAGAACTCACTCTGTAGACCAGGCTGGCCTCGTACTCAGAAATCCGCCTGCCTCTGCCTCCCAAGTGCTGGGATTAAAGGCGTGAGCCACCACAGCCCGGCTAGTTATGACTTTTTAAATGCTGTATTTTGGGGCTTATGAGATGGTTCAGTGATAAAGGAAACCACTGCAGCCTTCTGGTCTGAGTGTTCTGAATTGGATCCCTGGGATTCACAAGGTGGGAGGAGAAAACCCACTTCTACAAGTTGTGTTTTAACTTGAATATGCTGTGGCACCCCCCCACACACACGTACACCCAATAAATAAATGCAAAAAGTTCTGTGCTTACTCTTTTTTTTTAAAGTCTATATTTTACATTCAAATAAAATTAATTTGGGAAAGGTCATTATTTTAGTTTTCCGTGTGACGGAAGTGCCTGAGCTGGGGTCATCATTTGAATCTATAGCTCCACTGTTATCAAAAGGAATTCTGTAATAAAAACTCACATAAATGATTATTCCTGTTACCATCCTGAAAAACTCAATTTCTGTTTTAGAAAGTGAAACATTTTTTTAAGCTCTGAAATTTTGGGATTATGTCTAAAATGTAATAGGTTCTCAGTATTTGTTGAATAAATGATTTATATTCTATTTAAGATCCCATATTTAATTAGTAAAATATAGTTCTCAAAATCTTTTATTTGCTTAGTGATAGAGGAGCAGGAGAGAGAGAGTATTTTTTTTGTAATTTCATTTTTGACATTAGAATTTTATTTTTGAGATTTTAATACAAGTACACATTTCCCTTTCACTGCCTCCAAGCTCTCTCTTGACTCTTTCTTGTTCTCTTTTAAATTCATGTCTTTCATTAATTGTTGTTCCATGTATATGTTTATGTATACACTCTACATTCCAAAATATAACCTGCTCAGTAAGTATGACTTATATGTATGTTTTCAAGGCTGACCATTTGGTATTGATGGACATTTTCAAACTGGACAGTTTTAAAAATGAGAAACTATTTTTTGTGTATCTGATCACAGAAACAGCACCTTTACCCAATTCCTTCTAGTAAGTTTCCTAGTCAGATGCCACAGTCCCACAAAAGTGTGTGCACATGTATGTGTACATGTGGTATGTGTATGTACATGTGGAGTGTGTACATGTGTTGTGTGTACATGTGTGTGCATGTGAGCAGATGCATGTGACAGGAGTGTGTGGTGGCTAGAGGTAACTGTTGTGGATCTTCAATTATTTTCCATTTTGGCTTTTGAGTCAGGGTCTGTAACTGAACCTTGAATCCACCAATTTGTCTAGCCCCACCAGCCAGACATCTCTAGGGATCTGTCTGTCTTTGCCTTCTTGGTGATAGGATTACAGACCCAGACTAATATGGTCTTACATGTGCAGGGAATCTGGATTTTGCTCCTCAGGCTTGCATGGCAAGCGCTTTACTGACTGAGCCGTCTCCCCAGCCCCACCACCACCAACAACATTGAATGGCTCAAAAAATGAAAATAAAATCTAAAGAAATATTAATTTCTGCATACTTGAGTTGACACTGTAGTATTTTAAATTGCACATACCCATGATTCTGACAGTGAACAATGGCAGTTTATATGGCCCAGAATACATACACTATTAAACACTACGTTTTAGAAATAACAGCGTTTCCACAGTCTCCCAGTACTGGCTCTTATCATCTCCGGCCTGTCAGGGGTGTGGTGAGCATTCTAAATATCTGAATCCCGTGCTTCTCTTATACTGCAGTTTGCACCTTGTGGTTTACTAACAGGCACTACTTCGTAGTTTTGTTTTGTCAATGATTCTAAAGAGATAGCATGAGTAATTCCACATTTCGTAGAAAGAAATAACTAGGTTATTGATGCTCCTCCTTCACATCTGCCTCAATGTTCCTAACAGAGAACTGCTTAAAACAGGTTTCTAGGCCCGAACCTCAAAGAACTTGGCTTTCTGACACATCTGTCCTATTGTGTACGGCTTGGTGTCCCTGTGAACTGGGCACAGGACACTTTATGGTTTTCAGTTAAGTAAAACTGTGTTTATTATGCATGAAATAAATGTCCAAAACCACTTCCTTGGCAAAGTTACCATGTTAGCACCTTTTAAGTCGGATCTGCTCTGATCTTGTTGCTGTGGCTTTCAATTTCTGGATGAGTAACCTGGAGGAATTTACTCACTATCCCTTCTTTTGGAACAGTACCATATTTTAGCCTGCCAGGAGGGCAAGGGTCGCCCGAGGCTACTTCACTGTCGACTTTACCTAAGGCAGCCCTTAGATAAGCAGCCAGCTAAACAAACTCCGCGGGAGGTCTTGATAGGCAGGAGCCCCTATCTGGAAGCTCGAGGCTGACCCACGGAGCTAGGCCAAGTCTACCCAGCCCCCAGTTGTCAGTGTTCCCCTCCAGCGCCCCTGTGGAAAGAGCAGCCGCAGGCAGTGCTGAGCAAGTTCCGACCCTCTCCGCCGACCTCGCGGCGAGTCGGTGCCCGAACCGCCGCCTTTAGCTGGAGCGCAGCCACACGGGGAAGAGTTCAGCCCCAGGACCGACGGGGCCGGGACTCCATCGGCGGCGGCCTTCAGAGGAGCTCGCTCGGACAACTTGGCCACTCGATCCCCCGGTCGCGAAGATGTCGGCCTCCAACGTCAGTTTGCTGCACGAGACCTCCCGGCAGGTCGCGGCCGGAGGGTCTGCAGGTAAGGCTGCCCGCTCCCCGCTCCCGCGCGCTCGCCGCTCCGCCGGACAACGTCCCCAAGGCTCGCCTTCCAACCGAAGTTTTGTGTGCGTCCTCCTAAATCTTCCACTCTGACTCCGCTGCCAAGTGCAGAGGAGGCGAGCAGCCTGTGGCGGCTCTTTCGGGCGCAGTCGCCACTAGCTGCTCTGCTCTCAGGTTCCTGGGCTTCCCTGTTCCTAGAGTGAGGAGCATGGAAGGATTCGCCAGTCCCTGAAACTTACTGTGGCTTTTAGAAAGCTTCCCACTCTCTTCCTCTTCTTCCTTTTGACAGCTATTTTACATGAAAAGGATCCAGTTCGGTCTTACTTAAGTTTCTTAGCAAAGCTCTAAGCTATCTCTTGCCTCTCTTCTTTATCCTGTGCTTCTTGGGGATCTATGCATGCCATAAATAGGGTGTCAGGTTCCCTGGAACTGGAGTTGCAGACAGTTGTGAAGTGCCGCGTGGTGGTTGGGAATTGAACTCAAGACCTCTGGAAGAGCAGTCAGTGCTCTTAACCACTGAGCCATCTCTCCAGCCCGCGTGCCATAAATACACATATTAAAATTAAACGCTTGTGCTAACATATGTAAACACCTTTGATGTAATTTGCTCACATTAATCTGTGGAGAGCTATGATGTGGGAGAGGTTTTACAAAAAGGTCTGTTAAAACCAGCTTGCAAGTAACTACTGTCCAACGCAGCTGGAAGAAGTTGCTCACCATTAAATAATGAGCACACATAATTTTAAATACTTTTAATATTAAGCTGCAACAATTTCAAAAGTGTAGTTATTGTAATACATTATAATAACAATGATAAATAGTATTAAGATTGCCTAAAAGATACTCAGTATATACTTAGTAACATTTACTTTCAAGCAGATACGAACTTTTAAATAGTGGATAATGATAATTATAAGTACTTTTATGTCATGAACTAGCTGCATCTTAGGGGTACTAAAAGCATCCAGATATGTCACTTATAATCTGCATACTTTAACACGATACAGTTATGAAAATAAGGCATATATATAAATATATGCTTGATTCCAGCTCTGATCCTGAACAAAGAATGCTCAGCTGGACCATAGGGAAGGAGAAGCTGGTGAACATCCCAGACTATGCCCAGTGACGTACAGGCACTTCTGTTGGCTTGTATAATCACAACATGTACTAGGCGAAGTTAAACTCAAAGATCGTTAAAAAAATAGATCAGAACTCTAATCCTGTTTATGCTACATATTCTTGTATAAACATGTGACACAGATGTATTTATGCCGTCATATATCCTTATTACTGTACATGGGAATTAATCAGTTAATATGGCTAAATATTAAGCCATTTATAAGATAAATTTAAAACTGGCTGGTTGATTCATATAGTTTATATTGTGGCATTGTTGATAGGTGAGAAGGATAATAAATACTTTTATCACCCTGAAGTCCTATTTTCCTCTACTTAGCCTTTAAAAGCATATTAATAAAAGTTAAATTTATTGAAACTGTAGTAACGTAGGCTCATCCTATTACATTTACTAGAGCAAGGGCCAGAAAGAAAAAGTAGAGGTTTTATAAAATAAGGTGCATTAATACTATACTTCTGACTACCATGCCTCTTTCTGTATATTCTAATGATCTGGCTGCAAAGGTCAAAGTTGTCCTCTAAAAGGATGTTCTCTTAAGGAAAAAGTAAAGACATGGGAGTGGTTTATTGGGAAGATGCAAGAGTCTCGTGGCATTTAGTGTCTAGTGTCATTAATTCCCTTGAGGAACCGGAACACTCAGGAGAAAGCGGGATGTGATGCTTCTTCATCTTGTCTATGTCAGTGGTCCACTACCCTCAAGTCAGGACAATAGTGACTTACACTAGCACGGCTGTCTCCCTACTGAGTGTTACTGTGGTTTGCCAGGCTCTAAACCTTTTTACTGTAGAAACTAGATAAGCCCAAATGCATTCAGAGAGTTTGTTGCACAATCAGACAACAAAGGCAAATCAACTGCTTTTTTAACAGCTTACCAGGTGGCTTATCTCCGCACCCCCTTTAATGAGTATGGGTATCTTGCCTTCTTGTATGTCTGGGCACCAAGTGTGTGTCTAGTCCCCAAGGAGGCCACAAGAGGGTGATAGAATCCCTGGAACTAAGAGTTACAGACAGCTGTGAGCCACCAGGAAGGCATCGAAGGCTTTTGGTCCTCTAAAAGATCTGAACCACTGAATTATTTCTCTAGCGCTTATCTTCCTTTGACAAAGAGAACTCTCTTTGTCACGCCAACCGCCTTATTCGGAGATGTACGCCGAGGCTATAAGGGTGCCAATTTGACATTAACATTTCACTATGTTATCTTAGGAACTAGAAAAGTTTTATTTCTTATACTTATCTGTTGTTTTGAGGTTTTCATTTCATGTATTAGAGTTTAGTTTCTAGCAGTTTCCATGCAAGTATTCATGTTCTTGAATGATTGTCCTGGGGGAGGGGGGAGTGGGCTTGAGTTTTTATTTTTAGTTCAAAATCCTAGGAATAGACTCAAAATTACCCAATGTTGATAGCAACCCACCTTTATTAATTAATGATAGCCTATCTCCACTGGATGGGTGGCACATGTGGCTTGGGGATTCTTAAAGGAAAGCTTAAGAAAAAAAACCCTAGATACACTATGAAAGGAGTAATCTGTGTATATTATAATGCGTCACTCTTTTATTACAAGAGGGCTTGTGAGATTTGCATTTAAAGACTGTAGGTGTGCTTAGCAGGTTGTTAGCATGCATCTAATGGCACAAATCTAAAGCCTCGTTTAGGGCTTGTCATTGTAGCTAGACCTTGCAGAATAGATAGATCTTGCTACTAGTGACAATTTCATTTTGAATAAGCATAGCAAGCTTATAAAGGAAAAATATAAAATATATAGTTCGAATATTCAAGAGGCACCAGGAAGTAAAATGGAGCCGAATCCTGTGTTCAAGAATACTAAATTGGATTAACAGACTGGTGACCTTGGGGCAAGATCCTGCCCAGCTAAATTTAGATCCAGGCATGGTGGCACACACCTTTAATCCTAGGAGATAAAGCCAAGCATATCTCTGAGTTCAGAGCTCATTTAAGTCAGAGCAAGTTCTAGGTGAAGAAAAGCTTAAATCCAGACACGGTGGGGTGGTACACACCTTTAATCCCAGGAGACAGGTATGCAGATCTCTGAGTTCAAGGCCAGCATGAGACAGAGCAAGTTCTAGGTGAAGAAAAGCTTAAATCCAAGCATGGTGGTACACACCTTTAATCCCAGGAGACAGGTATGCAGATCTCTGAGTTCAAGGTCAATTTACAGAGCAAGATCCAGGACAGTCAAGCTTAGAGAAGGAGTTGAGAAAGAGGAAGCTAGTGATAGAACAAGGGGGTCATGTGCCAGCTCCTGCAAGCAGCAGAACTCGGCAGCTTTGGTCATGTGTCTCTGGCTTTATATTCAAGAGAAGAAAGAGACTACTGGGACAGTTGATGCTGGTTAGCTGGAGCTACAAAATTGGTGGTGATTAAGAAGAGACCAGCATCACTGCAATGACATTTTCTGGGAAGTGTTTCTGAAAGCACAAAGAAGTTGTGTTCCTGAGACAGCCAAGGTTGTATCTTGTGCTGCAGCTGTACTTGGTAATGTGTATGAGTCACCAAGGTGGTACTGGTTTTGAAGGCATGAAGGGGTCATGAAGAGTAGCTGAGGTGTAGTCCTGTGAGAGGCCAGGGAAGGCACAGCCTGAGGTGTAGCGTGCCCAAGACTGAAGAGGTTTATATTTCCTTATTACTGTTCATTACTGAAGGAAGTCAAGACAAGAGCTCAGACAGGGAAGCAACCTGGAGGCAGGAGCTGAAGCAGAGGCCAGGGAGGGGTGCGGCTTAGCTGGCTTGCTCAGCCTTCTTTGTTATAGCACCTAGGACAACCAGCCCTGGGGTGGCCCCACCCACAATGAGCTGGGCCCTCCATCATCAATCACTAATTAAGAAAATTCTCTACAGACTTGTCTATATCTGAATCTTATAGAGATGTTTTCTCAATAGTGGTTTTCTCCTCTCAGATGACTCTAGCCTTCGTCAAGTTAACAAAACTAGCCAGCAGATGCCCACTGAGTGTTACATGCCAGTCAGGTCAATGCTTCACGGGAATTAATATCTTTAATCTCATGACTTCACAAGGTAGACAACATCATAATTCCCATTCACAGAAGAAAGAGCTGACAGAGTTAGAGGGATCATGCGTGCACTCTCTCACTCTCTGTAGCTCCTGTTAGTGTATATTTCTTAAAGAATGCTTATCTAGGGCTGGAGTGATAGCTCAGTGGTTAAGAGTACTGACTGTACTTCCAGAGGTCCTGAGTTCAATTCCCAGCAACCTCATGGTGGCTCACAACCATCTGTAATGTGACTTGATGCCCTCTTCTAGTGTGTGTCTGAAGATAGCTGCAGTGTGTACTCATATAAATTAAAAAAAAAATCTTAAAAAAAGATTGCTTATCTATAAGTACAATTCTTTAAATGCGTTCACTCAATATCATGCTTATCTAGAGGGAAGAAGATTCACTTTTATCCAAAATAAAATCCATTCACTTTAGTGCCAATCCATCCAGTGCCTCCACGAGAAGCTGGATGAATTTTGGACTGACAAGGGGCTCTTGACAAGGGCCAAGAAGCTCACGCTCAGCACTGGACAACCCTAAAGCACTGCTTTATAGTATTATCTTTTCTTCTTTTTTTCCTGTTGCTTAGAAATCTACCTGTGATGACCGGGAAACATGGCAACAACGTCAGGATTCCTCCTACTGGTTTGGCTCCTAATACCACTAGCTTCAAAACCCTGTTTGTACATCACTGAGTTCTAGGGGGCTTCTCTGTCATTCACACAGTCAGGTCTTCCTCAGATCTAGGGCCGTTGAGTCACTTCAGACAGCAGTCCCTTTCTCCTCTTCCTTTTCTAAGTGAAGATTTATTTTATTATTTTCAGT